CCAGCAATAGTCAAGCCCCTTTCAGTAGAGAAGCCTGCATTAGGCGGCTACAATGAAACAGTCAGCTAGAGTGAAGATTACTGGTACTGAAATACTGGAGTGGCACAGTTACTGAGAGGTGTATGACAGTGTGCCTCTGAGAAGAAGTTGGTTCTCTGGATGGTGTGGAATGAGCTCTGTCTTAGCTGTTGTGTGTTAAGGCACATTGATGTAGGAGGATGTTCGTGATGCATTAAGGCTGAAGTGACAATAACTACTTAAGCAAATTAAAGGATCTGGCTTCCAAAGGATGGTTGGGGTGACTGACTTTTCAGTTGTGCTCTGGATGGTACCAAGAGTAGATAGGATGAATAACTGGGAAATAAAAGCATTGGTTTTAAATAGAAATATTTTCATAGAAGCTAAAGAATTACTAGATTTGAAGATGAAAATCTGGGCTTATAAGAAAATTGAATGGTAAATTTGTATCCCTATTTCAGAACAGTCATGATATATTAAGGCTAAAAGGCAACTTAAAAAATCAAATACGGTGGCTTTTTTTTTTCCTTTAAATCATCTCTTGGATGATTTCCAATCTGCTGCTTACCAGTTCTCAACACTTGGTATTTTAAATTTAGAATAATCAAGTCAACATCTGTTGTTAAGTTGCTCATTTAAAATATTCGTCCTTAGCAAATTAAGTCTAGTAATGGTCTGTTTAGCTATGATACATGTAGCAATTTCATGGATTTGGTAGGAACAATGTATGTGCAATTTGGTAAAGTGTTTAGTCTGATGATGTATTTGGTTGTTTTAACGTTTTTGTTAATACAAACTCAAATCAACTTGAGATCAATCATTGAGATTATACACTATGAAAAAGATCAAAAAGTTAATGATGGGATACACTACATTAAATTAGAGTGAGGTCTTTGGATAGCACAGACAACATTGTATATGTCTACTTAATATTCCACATACTTGCCGCCAGGCTTGTGGAAGATTTGAAAATGCAGATGATACTCTTTTGGGCTGCATGTATGTTACAAAGAAATCAAAGCTGCAAAATTTTCATATTAAACCCAGCACAGTTACAAAACACAAGATTGCGTTTTAAACTTGATGCTGCTTTTGTATCTCAAAAGGTTGATTTAGCAACACAGAGTGAAGGTAAGTAGCCAGTTCCCTGCCAGCTAATTATAACATGAGTGTTTACTGTCTTCCCAAGTGGTTCAGTTTATGTATTGAATTTTCAGCAGTCTCCTAAGTATATGTTTAAAAAAAAACCCCACCACACAAACATATTAATAGGGAAACTATTTTATCTGGGAAAAAAACCAAAACAGTATATTACATATAACCAACCATTATACAAAATATTTGTTATAATCTAGAAGACTACATGTTATTGACAGCTACATTAGCAAGTATTTTTTAGGTACGTATCAGCCTTAAAGATTCAAGAGGAATCAGTTTCACAAGCATGGCACTTCTATAATAATCGTGCAATAAAATATTCCTTCTCTACTGGCATCTTGCTTGAATGTCACAGGGATTTGACTGGCCAGTGATTCCTTGAACTGCTGTTACCTGGGATCTCTTAATTCCCTAGCTGATCTGTAGATGCAGATATACACATCTATGCAGTTGGAACAATCCCCATACTCCCATCCCTCAAAATAATGATCTCAGCACCCTGTGCTCTTCTGACTAATTATGTTCCTTATGTTTACGCTCCCTACCTTCTGTGCCTCAGTACTTTGAGTTCTGTGGGCCACCGGCGTATATTCAGATTAATTTTGTGCTGCATGTGTGTTGGATCTGAGGAGCTGTGATACAGACCTTTACTTTCCTTTTGTGACTCTCCTGGTCATCTCCCTTTAATTATTTTTAATCTACCCGTGATGTGAGATACTGCTGTAGATGGTGGAAAGTAAATGTTGATTTTTAAATATGAGTCTGCTCAGCTAGCTGTTCAATTCTTGTAGTCAATCTAATCAATTTGGCTACAGGGGCTGAGAGAGCTCTATTCACCTGACAAATTTAGACATCTTTAGAGCTAAATAGCTTTTCCGGTTTTGTTGGCTGCTAGGCTTTCTCTCTCAGCTAGAATGGAAGTTTACAGATATGTAGCTCATACACATGTGTCCAGATGTCTGAAATCTGGAGCTGTATCCTATTAATGTTGTCTCATTTACTTATATTTTTAATCAACTTTGTTAATGAATTTAGTGGTAATATCCTATCATGCAGCATTTTATGAGCAGAAACATCTGTTTCTCCATGGTTTCCTGTAAAATCCTAAGAAATTTAATATGACTTCTACAGTTTGCATAGGCTGCAATGTTAAAATGTGCCTAGAGGGCCAGTAGTTATCAATTTCAAGGAGCAAATACTATGGGAAAATAATTTGCAAAACTGAAACTATCTTTCTCTATATAATGAACTTTAAAAAATGTTTTTGTATTAGGTGGATCATATAGCATTTGATGTGGATTAATTTATCTTGCTGAAGTTTGAAGTACAGTTGTACTCTGAATGAAGCCAGCAGTGTTAATATGAGTTGAAGTAGTAGGAGTGGATGCATGATTTGATAAATGTAACCTTGTCAATATGTTATACAATCATTTTGATCATGATCACATGACATGATCTTTTTTTTTACTTATTAAAATCATCACTGTCTTAATCATCTTCCAGAACAAAAATGTCAGCTGTTTTACATACAGCAGTGAAAGCACAGCTGGAATTTGTAAGCCAAACAATTTAAAGACTTGTGGTAAAAATATTTTATTGCGGTGGTATCTTTAGAACTGTGTATTTAATAATTCTTCATTGTGTTCAATAGGCTGTTATTTCGGGCTGAGAGGAGAGGCAGGAATTTCAGATCAAATTTCTATTTTCGTGGAGAAAATTTTGAAGAAAATTTGAACGTATAGTTATTGGAAAAACATTTCAATGGGGAAGCATTTTCCAATTCCAAATTTTTACATTCGCCAATTCCAAATGTTTACGTTCATGGCTTGGAATGTGTGAAGCCAGATTTATCTCATTTGAGTTCTGCCAGGACTATGTGTGGGTTTAGAAAACATAGAAGAGATGGGGTTTTGTCCATTGAATTCAATGTTAGACAGTAATGACCATATACATATACAATTTATGGGAAGGCAGGTTTCTGTAAATGCAGATCATACCCTTTTGTAATCTTAGATTATTTTTTTTTCCTAGTGAATTACAGCAAACCCAGCTTTTCTATATAATGAGTTCTAAGGAGGAAAAGGCAGAAAGGGGATCCTAGAGGCTTTAAGTACAAAAGAAGGTCAGGGCTTATAAAGAGGAAAGCAAGAGGATGGGAAGTGTTTAGTTATGAAAATTGTATACAGAACTGCTGGGAGCAGTTAATGGTTAGGTACAAAAGTATGGCCTGCAGGGCTATTGTGTGTCGTGCAATGAACCTAGGCCATGGTGAGGGAATGGCATTTTGATTGCTGCACTCATCATCGATACGTGTGCTTCTGAGATCTACTGCAGCTGAGGCATGTAAAATCTGGCAGGTTAAATAACATGAGATGGTTTTCACACTGTAAAAATTTGGTGCCGCTTTGGACCCCTAAAGGGGTTTCCTGGGGTGATCATTCCACTTCCACAGCAAGAGTATCTTTAAAATGAGATACTGACCTAAGAACACAGATAAATTCAAGCTGGACAACTAGAACGGTTCCTGCCTGCAACTCATTTTCCCTTTGCTGCACGTTTTCACCTTTATAGGAGAATATTTAAATTACACATGAAAAAGATCTTGAATCACTGTGGTTTCCAGGTAGCATCTATCAATGTAAGTAAAATAAATGCTGACTACATAGATTGGGAGGGGCGCACACATAAGTTAGCACTTCTAGTCTGCTTCACACCTGTTTTAGCTGTTCCTCCTGTGGAAGTGCAATCTCTGGATGGTGCACAATGTTTGGTATGGTCGCATCACTGGTTCTCTGACTCTTAATTTGTTTTTGTTCAAGAATATCATATACTACAATGTATACAGCCTGATTTAAAATTTTGGTGAGCATTATTCCTTTAAACAGATACAGGTCTCTTTCACAACTTGATAAAACAATATTACAACCTCTTTCTAAGTAGGCTTCTTTGCCTCGTAGTCCAAGGACAGCATGAGAATATTCACTTGAATATGCCTCTAGAAGAAGAAATAAAGGTTAATTATTTCCAGCCAATGTTCTTCGTTATCACTTCTGTTATTCCTGGACACCATCCACCTTCTGTCTTACTTGGAGTCCTAATTTTGGCCTTCAGAAGGCAAGATATGCGGGGAGGTGGGGAAGTCACTTCACATGCTGCATCCATTCTCATACTCTTGTTTACCGTATATCTTTAAGGAAGAAACAGGATGTGTGAGAGTAGCCCAAAGACTGTCACCTTTAGAAGATTTTTATTTATGTAAGTTGCATGGTTGGAGTGTTCCAAGACTAAATGTGAGGAAATAATTTGTAAAATAATGCTGGTTGAAAGTGACTTTCAAAATTTGTGTTAAAAGGCTGGCATAAGCTTGACAAATAGAAATTAATGAATAAGCTCTATTCAAGACTTTCCGTGTGGGTCTGCAGAGAGACTTTATTGTCTTTTGAGTAGATTTTTATAGTGCTGAATATTATGTAGATGTTAACTAGTACTATTGCACTCACTTTCATTGTTTTTATATTGCATTAGGCCTCTAGAATTGGTAGTAAAGGAAACAATTGTCAGTGGACAATGTTCAAGGCTTCTGAACTGCCAAGCGACACTAACATAGTATTTGCCTATTATTGTAGCGCAGACAGATATACCACATCATTTATGGCTAAATACTGAAAGTTTGCCTTATTTTTTTCCTTTTCTTTCCCCCAACAGATTCAGAGCATTCCTATTACAATTTAATCCTGAAGAAAGCAGGACAATTTTTATCCAATTTGCAAATCAATCTGTTGAAGTTTGCACTTTCCATACGGGCATATTCTCCAACTGTTCAGATGTTTCAGCAGGTGACTATATTATCTGATCTATTTGGTACATGATTTTATGTGGTATTTTGGCTGCAGAGTAAAGAATGTTCATGATTACAGTTCAGTAAAATATATGTCAACATTATTTGGAGTCAAACATGACCCATTTGTAAAGGTGATGCTTTATAAGCTGGTCATATTGACAGGAGCAAATATTAATGTTTAATTGTATGGATAGCATTATTTTCAGGGTAGAATTTTTGGAATTGTTCATTTTTAAAACTCAGGTTATGGGGTTTTTTTTGCATTGCTTTCAATAATCCTATGGGAATTCAGACATTCCCAAAGTAGGAAATTGCCTGTAGCTTCAAGTCATTTATAATTGTTACTTATCTATCTTATCTCATCTCTCTCATTATTTTAGTATTGGAAAAGTTGAAAGATAGAATAGTCAAATACATGCTTTGTTAGTGAAAAAGCAGGAGGACATAAATTCACTGTGCCTTTAGCCTAAAACTGTTCCTCCTACTTTTAGCAATGCTACCTTCCACATAAAGTGAGAAATCCATGTTCCTGAAAGGTAATAATCTGTAATAAAGTTAGGGGTTTTTGCAAGTGTTCTCTGGAGGAATATCATCATCTCAGGCTCATGTCTTTTCATTTTTCTTTTTCAGCTTGTGAATCCAGAGTAATTGACATGCAGTCATATGATTCCCACTTTACATGGGGAATCATTTTAAAAGTTTTTTTTTAAAAAAAAGGCAGGAGTGGGAAAGAGAAAGAACCAAAAATTGACGTTAATTGTTTGGGATTTATTGGTTAGCAGTCAAATCTTTGTACATTAACATGATTGCTGATAGTGACTAAAATTAAAAATATCTCAGAGTACAGGCTGTGATTTCCGCTTGTGGAGGAGATTTCTTGGCCCTGTCTTTACAGAACATAAATGGACTTTCACTTTCTGGAGTACAACTGCATTTGGTAGACTACATTTCACAAAGGTTATATGGTCTTAATCTTCTAATATTTTCTGTGACTTTTTTTCACATATACCAAATTTTGAATGGGCTTAATTAGAAACACAACTCAATGGCAGCTGTTGAGTTATTTTAATCAAGGGGATGTGAGTTTAAGTTGAAGTGCAATCAAAGCTTTCTGGTTGAGTATAATTGTTGGAATATTAGATTGCAGCTGATGAACCTCCACCAGAAGGCTGCAGTGCGTTTGTGGTTATCCATGAGAAGCACACCTGTAAGACTAATGAAATAAAAAAGCTGCTCAAGAAGGCTACTAAGAGGTAAGTGTAATGATCTGTTTTAAGAGGAAAAATAGATTACTAAGGAGGAAAATGTATTATTGCATATATACTTGTAGTATTTTGAAATTTTGTGTTCTACTTCCTTGATAATGCCAAGCCCATAAATTTTTAGTTTTAGATTATTTTTTTTTAGATATTTAAAGACCTACCCATTTAATGTATACCTTGGAATATTTTAAACACTTACTGTTAGGAGAATTCATCAATTGTGAATCCAAGTAGGGTTTTAAAGTAAAATCATAGAGCTTTGCTCCTCTAACCACATGGATAATTTTGTATTTCTTCCCTATTTTTTTGGTATGGGATAGTCAAGTTTAAGTTACAATATATTTTCTATACAAATATGCCATTTAATGCATCTGAGAGTAATTCTGCTGACAGACGTTTTTACGTGGTCAGTGCTGCTGCATTTGAGATTTTCTGGATTGTAAGGGCTTGGCACAGGCATGGAAGAGGAGTCTGCCTCCGCTGGCATAACATTTCCTCACCTTGTGCTAGACTTTGCACCTGTCAAACCTTTCTGCAGGCTTTGTCCTGTGGAAACCAGCATCAGTCCAGAATGAATTTCGGTTGTGAAGTAAAATATGTAGAACCTAGCAAATAAAAATAATGAAAGCAAAATGTTTAATCTCTATATTTAAAAAAAAAAAGAATTAATTTGTATTTTTTCGAGACTGTATGTAACATTTTTAGTGTTTGGGTTGTGTTTTTTTTCCTGCGGTGGTCAAGGTCACCATAATACACATTAGTGTCCATACCCTCAACCACTACATGGAGATATGTAGAGCTGAAAGATGATTTAGTAGGGCATATTTCTTGGATTTTGCTTTCTATCAAATATAAATTGAAAAAAAAAACCCTCTGAAAATCTATAAATTTGTCTCTTTGGGGATGGTTGCTTCTGAAAACAATTTGGTGTTCTACATGTGTGATTTATGGTATTTCATAAGTCCATTGATACAATTACAACCTACAAAATCATTGTCTTTTACTTATTCAATAACCAAGGTTTTTGCAAAAGCACTTCACTGTCTAGTTTGCAATGTCCCATTTTTAACTATTACATTCTGCCTAACAAATGTCTCTTTCTCTCTTACATAAATTATTTGTACTATATTTTGGCTTTTAAAATTATCTTGAGTTATTATGGTCGTATATGAAGGCATCATGACACCTTAACATTTTATCACAATGTCTGAATATACTCCTCTTCTTTAGAAGTTAACTAGTTTCAGCACATTCTCCTTTCTGGAGATACTATCCCCAAATTTACAAGATTCTGGAAAATCATGGTACTAAACAATAGAATCTGAAGTATTCAGAATTCAAGGAGTTAGACTTCTAGAGATCATTAACTTTAGGAACTCAAAACAAAACTGAAGTTCTTTTTATTAAATTGTTCTTGTGTTTTGTATAGTTTGTGCATCAGTCACGTTACAACCTTCAGAGCTGCAGGGACAAATTGTTGATAAATTTCCTTTCCTTCTCCCCACGCCAAAAGTAGTTGTGTCACTCAAATATTTAGTCCCTGGAGCTAGACTTTGAGAAAAACTTGTTCACCTTCAGGTAATTGTTTCCACTGTTATTCCCAGTTGTACCCTGGATAGCAGATGCTTTTCGCTTGGGCTGGAGATGTTTAGCCTAGGTGATCTAGATAGGGCTGTGTTCCTGTTCTTTCTTTTCTATATGGGAACAAATGACATATGGGACAGTGTGCCATCTCACTGTTGGTTCCTCTAAACCAGTCATTCTTTTTTTCTGTGGCTTTTATGAAAATGATTTTCTTTGGCTTATTTTTTTTTTAATTTATTTTAAACTATGTTCCTTTGTATTTAATTTTCTTTTTCTATCTTCGGTCTCTCATGACTCTTCCACTTAAGCCAAGCTAACTTAAGCTAGGCTTTCAGTTGTGTCCTAAAGTTCCCAATATTGGATGAGGATGCTAGAAAAGGATTAGTTTCAAATCTCACTGGAAGAGAAAGAAGAGGATGCAGCATTATTTTGTGCAGATCCATCAGCTCAACCTGAGATCCAGGAATTCTCAGGCACTTTGGACTCAGGAAAGCCCAAATAGTCTGCACATCAAGATCAAGGTTTTGCTTCATCCAGTCCCTTATGCAGCAGCTACTGTGATTTGGTCTGTTGCAGTTTCAGCCATATTGCAACTGACTGCATGGCTCTAATTGGAAGTATTTTGTGTGGAGGTGCAATGGGTTGCTCAAGGGCTGTGGATGTGTCCAAGGAAGATCTTCAGTGGTTAAATGGTTGGGATTACTTACCTTGCTAACTGTCCAAAACACAACACTAAGATTTCTGGGGCTGTTGCTGCCGAGAGCAGGAGCACTGATGGGAGTCACGTTTTGCTCAAAACAATCAGTGCCTTAGAAGGTTTGTCAGTATGCATGTCTGCCGTCTTCTGTCCATCACATTCCTTCTGCATCCTGGCTTGGCAACTATCTAGGCAAGCATATAGTTGCCTTTCCTACCCTAGTGACTGGTTAGAGAGTGCTGAACTCCACATCCATGTATTCTTTTTATCTCTTTTTGTCTGCCCAACTGCTGTTCCTTCCCTTTCAGGCAGACTTCTCATGAGAATCTTATGGCAGGAAATTAATTAGCTTTCAGCTCTAAGAGCAAGAGAAACAATTCCTTCTCACTACTCTTCAGTGTTGAAGAGAAATGGAGAACGAAGGTTTATCTTGGATTTACAAGGGCTGAACGCTTTAATTCTCCGATCCAGGGTCATCATGGTAGCCCGATGCAGTGTTACTTCACTGCAGCACTTAATTTTTTTAGTGAAGCGTGTTAGTTATAGTATAAAATGCTTCCTTTGAGACTGTCAGTGTTCAAGAAAGTCATGGCAGCCCTTGGTACCCACCTTTTGAGAACAGGAGTCATTCTTTTGCTAACCTAGGTGACTAGTTAAGAAAAGAGAAGCTTTCTTGATTTAGGTTTTCAGCTCTCTCTAAATGATTGTGGTAGTTCTTGTTTCTCTGGTATGAGAAGGAAGTTGCACAAGTCACTTCCCATATGTATGCTTTCACTGGGACAAGCCTGGATCTGTTCTTCAACAGTGCTTACTCATTCAAGAGTTGTTTCAGACTCCCTGATGACACCTACTTCGTCTGCCTTGTCCTGTGATGATAGCGGGAAAGCTTGCCTGATGTTTCTCTGACACGTGGCTGCATGCACCCAAGTTAATTCTTAAACCAGGCCCCTCCTTTTGTCTCTGCTTTACAAACGTGGTCTTTGATTGCCTACCTACCAAGCTTGCATAGGATGTTGATGCTGAGGCCCCGAGTAACCTGATACAAATTGGCCCTGCTTTGAGTGAGGTTTTGAAGCAGATGACCTCCAAATGTCCTTTGCAGTGTTAATTATTCTGTGATTTTATGTTGAAGGTATTCCTAAGCTTTACATCACAGAAACTGTGGCATGTGGAGTTCTGCTAACACCTTTCCTGTATGACTTTTCAATGACCATCTACTACACACATTTCTGTAGTGTGTGTTGGAGTTTCTGAACTTGTCTTGGAGAGGTTTGGAGGGAGTTTACTGGTCTTTCAAGTGTGACTGTGCAAAGGCAACTTTGAAAAAGAGTGTACTCGCCAATAATTAGCACCTTGAGTATATTACTCAATCATATCCTCTGTTACTTTTCCATCTTTCCCAGGTTTTATTCCAAAGATCTTTGCAGTCATCTAAGAAATCATTGCAGATATAGAAAGTGTAACTTTTCTAGACATGGTTTTCAATGGGGAGGGTAGGTAGGCAGTCAAAAATTGCAAAGATAGCTGATTTAACAGCTTGATGGTGTTAAAGAAGTATAACCCCAGTTAGTTTCCATGTATGTTGGGAGCTTTCTCAAACTTCACTGAATTAGCCCTCTGCTACTCTCTTACTCACTGATTGCTCTGTACATCTCTAATAGATATAATGCATCATTTAAATTAAAAGCTTCAAGCTGTAACTGATTGTTGCACAAAATCTCAAAATGCTATGCTTTTCATTTGCTCTTTGTGTTGTGTTTTCATAAAATATATTAAAATTATTTATAGTTGATGCTGATTTTTCCATTTCTTAGACTAATTTGCAAATTTGGTGTTCTAAGTTCGATTGTGAGCAATCATTATTATTTTGTGATGTTTTTAACACGACTCATATACTTTTAGCATATAAACCCTTACTATTTTTTTCAATTATAAAGTAGAAAAACTGCCGCTGTTTCAATTTCTTTTCTGAATATGTAATATCACAATTACTTGTTTTTATAACCAGACCGAGGCCGTATCTTTTTAAGGGAGATCACAAATTCCCAACTCTGAAAGAGGATGGCCCAGTGGTTGTTCTTTATGCAGAAATGGGTACGAAAGACTTTGTCAAATTCCACAAGATTTTATCTGAGAAGGCGCAAAAAGAGGAAATTGTTTATGTTCTCCGGCATTATGTTCAGGTATGCAATTTAAATTAACATTGATTCAGTAAACTGTTAGGATTCTGTCTTTATTTTGCTTGCTTTTTGACAAAACACACTTTCTACATTTATTTTTGCATTTGCCTAAATCGTGTGCAATATATCTTCTAATTTAAAAACTTCCTAGTTGAAATGATTCACCTAAAACAAACTTTGAAGCTGGGAAAGCATGGTAGTATTATATAATCCTGTATGCAAGCACTGCATCACTGATTGATCTTGAAAAATCTCTTTTTGGGTTATGTGTCTTGTTTTTTTACATTGTTGGATGAATCTTGGTGCAGCAGACTGAACATATTAGTAACAAGAATTAGAAAAATGGGAAGTAGAATAGAAAACCAAGTTGAAAAATGATTAACTATACTCATAATTTTATATATTCTCAGTATAATCTCTGAGGTTCATTGTAGTACAGTAGCATGGGCTATCACAGTCAACATCATTGACCAGTTTTTCGATGCTTGCATTCCACAGTGTCAGTATTTTAAACATAATGTTTCTGAATGCTTTTCTAAACTTACTCTTCTTTCTGAAACAAAACAAGACAAATACTAGTACATGGAACTATATTGTCCCCAGTTTTGGTTATTGGAAGGTTTTTGTAATTTGTATTCAAAGTACAGCTCTTAAATAGTGTGGGTAATAGAAGAATAATCTGATGGAGTGAGAGGTTGCTGTGATTTATGTAGACCAGGCATTTCAGGGAGGTGAGATCCATAGTTTGCGGATGACTTTTTGATTTGTTTGCTCACAGTAATGAAACAGAGAATTTGAGGAAACCAGTCTTAAATTCTAAGTTGTGTGGGATATAGTTTTTACTGAACTTTATGTTCTTTTATGCACTTCTATTTCAATTAAATACCTACAGTCTCCTTGCTCTGACGGGTTTATGCACCATACCCCACCCAAATGCGTGTTGTCTTCCTTCCTGAACTTTTCTCTCTTCAGATTCCTCTTCCCTTTTTCTCCTTCCTCACAACCTCCATTTTTATTCTTTGGTTCCCAGCTGAGAGTCTCCCTCCTTGTTTTACATTAAATACCAGAAGAGGGAGCATTGAGAGCAGAAGACATACAGTCTTTCTGCTGTCATTTTTTCCAGTATCACTGAGACTGCTTAGAGAGCGCAGTGCTCTCTCTGCGTTGAGATTTGCTGAAAGGACCAACAGAGAAAAACGCCAGCCCTGTTGGGTTTTCAGTTGTGGGCTGGAGGATTCCAAATACAGAATGATTCTTAGAAATTGCAAGCTAATGCTGAAAAGTTTTCAAGAACTTGCAGTGGAGTGGGTGCAAATTGCATTTTGGAAAGGCAATTTTCATGTCTTTTGGGCAATTAGGTCACAGTTTCAGAAATAAGTATGCTCTGAGTAATTACACTATCGAATGGCAAACTTCCACTCCAAAGTTAGACATTATTGTTGTTTGCTTTTAGTAAGTGGCAACCTGTTTTTAGCAGTGATACTTTAAAACATTTCCTTAATCCTCCTTGCAGAAAGTGATAAAACTCTTTCGTCAAAAAATTTTTAAAGAACCAGCCTGATGCAGAAATAGAGAATTTCCTCCTAACATGCTGAAAGTTTGGCAGAATTACAAAGGAATTAATAATTTAAAATGTGAGTTGTAAGGCATCAATAATTGTATAGGGTGCTACCAGCTCTACCTGTTCTAGTCCTTCTAATATTATGTGAAGGGATGACAATTTTAAGACAGCCTTTCTGTGGTCTGCAGGAGATAAGGGAAGTCCTTGCTTTCTGTTACACAGCTTCTCAATGGACAGCCAGTATGCCTTACGTGACTCTTGTAATTCGTTTGGTGTTACATTTTGTACTTTGAATCATAAATTGAAAGCTAAATTTGTTATGACTGTCATAACATTTTGAAGTTACAGTATTAGATATTGTCAATCTCCTATAAATACAGTTTTTTAAGGGGTTTGGTTTTTTTTTTTTCTGTTAAAATTATGTCATCAAACAGAAACCAAGTTCCAGAAAAATGTATTTATCTGGATATGGTGTAGAACTTGCAATAAAGAGCACAGAATATAAAGCAGTAGATGACACACAGGTTAAAGGTATGTGGGCTTTTAATTTATTTATGATATCTTATTTGAGATACTATTGAAGTGTGTTATAATCTTCAGTTATAAAGTCAATAATGTTTTGAAGGTTATACTTAATTTCTTTTTACAGAAGGAAGTCTTAGGCATTAAGAATTAAGACATCAAAATATATGCGAACATTTGTAAACAGCTGTGCTTAGGACATAGTTCATTACCTAACCTCTAATTGTTATTTTCTCTGTCTCTTGGAAACATAACCCATTCTTCTTCCTTTCAATAAATAGAAGGTTGTTTAACCTTTGTTCTTCAATTACTTTATGGTTTTTGGCATCTCTAATATGCTAATTACTACAGGATCTAATTGTTACTGTCTCAGGGGTGAGGGGTTTTTTTCTATATTTATGTGGAAATACTTTCACAATCTTCTGTAAGAAAGATGTGCTGTGTCGTAGAATTTAGTACCAGTGTATGTTACTACATGTTGAAATGAGACATTTACCACAGAAGGCGGTAGATATAGCATTCTGACATGGGGAAATTACTGCGTGGACATTTACAAGGTATAAAGAAAGTTAGTTAACTCTCTTTGGTAAGACCAAGGTTTAATAGTCTTTGAGTCACATCAAAAATAGTTTAATTTTTTTAAGATAAGAAACTGATCTCTGACTTATATCAAATGGTAGCTGGAGATTCAAGAGCTTTAAAGTCATCATGCTTTTCAAGCATAAATTTGGCTGTAGTTAGCTGATTAGACTTATACCTTACCATGTAATCAAACTGAGAAATGGCTATTTTGGGAAGTGAACTATTTAACCACATCAATTTCATTTATATAAAAAAATGTAACCGTTGGATGAATTAATATTTGAAAATTAATTTGAATATTGCTAAATTCTGCGAAGTGATTGATTCTGATGCCAGAACATGAATCCATAAGTATAAATCTAATTGTAATTACATCTGGGAATGACAACTTTCTGATTGTATGTTTCTGTTAACCGCTTTATAATTAATAAGAACATAATACATCAGTAGCTTTCTTGGTTTATATTGTCTACATGTGCTATGTATTCAGGAGCAAATGAGACAAAAGATGAGGAAGATGATGAGGAGGAAAGTGATGTCCAAGGATTTCTCTTTGGCAAATTAAAGTGAGTTGATTTAACATAGAATTAAACTTCTGAACCAAAAAAAAAAAGTTGTAGAAGTGAGATTTATGTTGGAAATTACTTCGTTTGCCACTGGTGAAAATTCTGATTAATTTTTTGGGGTATGTCTTGTGAATGTAAAGATACAATATTTGTTTATTCTATTAATTTCAAATTATTGCTTTTAGTTTTCTAAATCTCTTAGAATGTAGACAGTAAACTGTTTTTAAGGTAGAAAAAACTCCCTCTGGGCAACAGTCACAAAAACTTAGTAGACCATGTTTTCATGTTTGTATCTACAGTAAATTGTTGCTGCTACTTCTCTTTTCAGATAATTGATCAAAATGTTCGTTTTCAAAATTCAAGTACTAGCACAACAAATCCAAACCCATGTGTTGTAATTACATAAGGTGTTTTTAAGACAGATAGTCATTAATTTCTTAGAGTTAAGGAGTGGTATTTTGTGGGAGATATGCTTATTATAGATGTCTTCTTATTTTGGAGTTTGTGAATTTTTGTTCTGTTCTAGCAGGAACTCTTTTATCTCCAAGTCACAATCTGTTAGATGAAAATGGATGCTACCATATTGAGGGCTCCTTTCAGTCCTCCATGGATGGATTCATTTCGTGCTTCCCTTTTCCTGTAACAGATCCATGCAGTGAATCATAAATCCTGATTTTTTTCTTCAACAAGAAACTCAAGTGTGGGTCTTCTGTAGTGGTATTCTCTCTCTTATTATTTAAAGCAAAAAATAAACTTGTTTGTAGATATTCCCACAAAGCTACCAGTCTTCTCAGAGTTCAGAGCTGCTAATGCTGAGACCACATCCCCTTTCTGCCTTCTTTAAAAGTAAACACATTGAGATAGAAGTGCACCCAGGTCTGCAGGCTTCCTTGGTGTTTCACCTATGTATTAGAGACCCACTGCAGGTTACATCAAATGCTTATGCCATACCTTTATCTGAGGTTTTTTTCTTCTTGGGTTGTGCTAGGTTTAGCTCTACTCAGGTTCTTGATGGTGCACTGTGACTAGTTTGTGAAGCTGTCTGATAATTGTTCAGACTTTTTGACATTGTTTCTAGACCCATATTTTTTTCTTCTCCTTTTCATACTGGAGATGAAAGAAATGTTTCAGTAATCTGTAAATTGTCCCTCAGTTATAGCTATATCAAGGGTTATACTTTTCTCAGCTATGAAATGGTTATGAATGTAAGCAGAAGACATAAAATCTTAGAAATATAACTAGCTGATTATGCAAATTAAGATAATTCAATCCCACATCATGATACATATCCAGAGAAGGGTAAGTTTTTTTCAGTTGGCTGTGTGTGTTTTGATTTTGTGCCTACGTGTGAGTAAGTGAACAAGAGAAATAAGGGACCAAGTATCAATACTAGATCTTGGTTGTGGCTTGTGGCTAGATCTTATTTGTCAGTTGGCTCTCATGCACAGAAGACTTGAAGGTCTGAACAGAAAAAAAAATATCATCAAGGTAAATTTGAAAAGAAGGCAGTAAAAACTAATTAGAGAGCTCAAAGCTAGGTAAGAATTTTCTACTTCATAGAGAGCTTTCTAAGGGTACAAACTATATTTGTCATTTCTAGGTCTATGTTACAAGTAAGAAAAAAGGAATTTTCTGTCTTTGCTTCCTTTTTCAGCTGAGTGTGCTTTCTTTGAGGAACCCAGACTATATTTTAGTTCCAGAACAACGGTCTTCATCAGTGATATTTTTCTTTTTCTATAAAGAACAACAGTTAATATCATCCAACAGCTAAAAAATGAGGGGGGAGGGATTCCTTGTGAAACTTTTTAGTATCCAAAATAAAATGTGAAATATTACAGAACTTGAAGTCTTAATGCTTTAGGTGTCTGGTTTTTAGCTACCTTTCACTGCTTGTTCAATACTCCTGGTAGAAGAATCTTTAGAAATCTAATGGACATTGTTTGATGTTCAAGGATGTCTTGTAGCAGGCTGAAGTCTTTGGCCTCAAAACTTCTTTGCCCAATTATGTTTCAAAAAAATAATAGCCAAGCTTTTGAGCACCATGCTTTTCTTCAGGGCTGACTAGTGATTTGTGTGCTCAGTAGCTTGATTTTGTCAGTGATGTTAATTTGTAAAAGATGTTCTCAACATTGTCTTGCCTGAATCTTTTGTAGGTAATGCAACAAACTCTGTGTACGGTTACAGTTCATCTATAGTACAGTTAGTATACAGTTAGCAATATATTATGCTATAGTAAACTAACTGTACAGTTATCTGTATTTTATGTTAATACTATTTAATCTTTGAGTTCATTTATTCCATCAAAATTTATGGTTTTGGTTTTGAGATGGATCACTACAGAACAATTGAACTCCTTCTTGTAATTAACTGGTTTTTAGTCCTCAGAAATCACCTCTTCTCACCCCAAATCCCTATTTTTGTTTTAAGAATGAATTAGAATTGTCATTTTTCCTTGTTACCTAAAGATACAGTATTAGCTGTGAGCATTATTGTGGATGAAAGCATGATGGATGTTATTGATTTTGCCTTCTTACAAAAAAAAAATGTTTGGTTGTAGACAGATGCATCCTGATCTGAAAAATAATCTAAAAGAGTTTAAAAAACATCTAATTGAAACTGCTAACAACATGGAACCACTGAAGGTTTGGGAGCTACAAGGTATGTATGGCATTTTTCTGAATTAACACAGTACTTTGTTCAATTTTCCTTTGTTATGTTGATGTATCAACATTATGATAAAAACTTCTTTTAAAAAGAGACGTATGGTTTTATAAAAAGTCAGTATTATATCAAGTATTTAAAAATAATATGTTGGTATCTTGTCCTAGCATTATATACTAGAAATTAAAGGAGCATTTAAGTCATTTTATAAGATGGAGAATCATAACCAGCTTTACTGATTTTAAAGACAGAAGTCATATTGCCCTGTTTTCTGCCTGATATGTTATTTTGGATGTTAAATTTAGTTTCAGATGTGTTTTTTGAGAGATGAGGCAAAAGATACCATTTTGACATGACTATTGAGTCGGGACGAGATACAGGTTAAGACAGTTTGTTCTCTTTAATTTATAAATTCTAACTTTCATCAGTGTACTGGAGTTCACAATGATAATTTTTTTTAATATAGTGTCAAATGGAAGAACATGCTTGTAAAAGCTTTCCTGTGGAAAAGGAGAGCAAATACATTGAAGCTGATTTCTAAACAGCTTCTGTGCTGATGACCTGCAGGACATTCTGTAGCTTGAATGGAGTTATAAATCGCTCTAAAATAGGTCCGTAAAATGTCATGACACATCGGTTTGGGGAGATAAATTTTGCCTGTTACATTCTTCAGTTTTAGAGGACAACCTGATCAAAACTGATTTGCCATTGTGCTAGTGCAATGAAGGAGACTGAACAGTCATCTAAACTTCAGTTCCTTTTGGGGACCCTGACTGTTACGGAGCTTGCTAGCAGTATCCAGTCTGAAACTAGGTATTTAGGATAATTGTAGTTCACGTGCAGTGTTTTATCAATGAACTCCCCTTGAGCTGCAGGATTTATCTCCAAAATTAAAAAAAATAAATTGAAAACCACTGCATTTCAGTTTTGCTGAAAAATCTGCTGTGCAAATAGAAAGAAAATTCTCTTTCTGTCTATTTAATTATTTTTTTTTACATGTTTGAATACCAGTCTGTTGATGTTCAAGCAGAAGCAGCTGTGAAACTTTGATTCCTTTAGTGTCTACCTTCAAAAGCCAGTCCAAGGTCTCTATTTAGTGATCTTTTCTGTAGTGTCATGGCCACATAAATAAAAAATGAAATTGGTGTCGCTCCGCGAGCAACCAGTTCACACAGTGTTGAAAGTAGTTTAGTGTTGGGATGCTGTTTGTTCAGTGCTGGGAAGACTGGTACTGGCTTGTGGTAAATACATTCAGGGCCTTTTCAGACAGGGGGTTTTCAGTCCCCCCTGCATGGTGCAGTTGTTTTGATACTCCTGACATGACTGGGTGCTTTCTGTAGTTCATTCTTAATGACTAGTTATAGTGGCTGAGTTAATGACTCAGCTGCTCTCTGATTTCCTTTAATTAGCTTCCAAGTAAAAATTTAACTAAATTTAACCAAAACTCCTTCAGCTATAGGGCATACTTCTATTTATAAATGACCCTAAACACCATTCAGGGGTTGTCTTTCAAGAGCCTTCATGTTTTAGGTAAGTAATTAGGTTTACTATTTATAGTGAAAAATGATGCAGAGAGTACCAATGTGGTATTCCCTTAAATAACTTATTCTTTTATCTCTGTGAACAGCCTCTCGATCTCTAGTGCTTCATTAGCTTTCAAGGCATACTTTGAGATCTGCTTTAAACTCAGGATCATCTTTTCCCCAAGGTGTGCCCTACACTGCTCTCTCAGCTGTGTTAGTGTACCATACAGGGAGGTCTGTAAGTGACAGTCCCTGGCCAGAGGGAACCAAGAAGGTAGAAAGACATGTAATTCTGCCTCTTTGGAATTTGAATATTCGTACTCTAGCTGTTCAGCACAAAATGGAAATGATTAACAATTCATGAAGGATTTTAAGTGTACGTCCTAAGTGCACAGCAGGTCAGGCATCCCTGTCTCTAGTAACGGCAGCGGTTGGCTATTACTTCACCTGATCACAGCTTATGTCGCTGTTAAAAGGGATCTGAAATGTTCTTTTTGAAAACGGTGATCTCTCTATACCTTTTGTTACAAGTATTAGGAAATACTAAGTTATCATTCCACCTTTCAGACTCACCTGTTTTTCCAGCCAAGGTGTACCTTATCAGGCTAAACTAGGAATGTGTGCTATTCAGTTTTCTTCAGGCTTTTTTTTTTTTTTTTAAATTCCTAATTGCTTCAAAAGGATGGTACAAAGTTCTACTAGGCAGCATCCTCTATGACCTTCTGCCCAGCATTTTCTACTATGTGGGGCATCAGCCTTCCTCAAACTGAATAACATGAGGCCTTCAGTTTCTGCTCAGATGTCTTAACTAGCAGATTATAAGGAAAAAGCATCATTGCCCTGAGGTAGTTAGGCAGACTGTATCCAAAGTACATGGAAGCACCTAGTATATTATTGCCTTATCCTATTGGTACCAAAATTGGATTTTTCCCAGTCTCATGTAGCAAGATTTGTCACACCCAAGTTAGGCACCAGAGATGGCTAATTGAATTCCATCATTGTTTTTCCAATGGATGGGCAAATTAATTATAAATTGTCCTGATATATGAAAATTTACTTCATTCCAAGAAAAAGCATAGATAGAAAAATGAAATCCCTTTAAAAATTGTGCTAGATGCTTAGGAGGACTAAAATTTGACAGTAGCTTGATCTTTCTTTCATGAGTCTCCATTTTATCTTCCTGTGAAATTGCTGCTGCTCCTCAAAATTGTACACTTCATGTGCTCGATACAGCCTTCTACATTTAATATATCTGTTCTCTGAAAATCTTGTGAAGTCCTGGAGCTGGAAAGAACTTATTCTTTACAGCAGTTACGGGTGTCTGCAGGTTGGTATGTGTCTAGGTTTAAGTGTGATACCCTTGTGATACTGGCATTATGCCACGTGATGAATTGTCTGGTTTTTTCAGTGTCTTTTTGTGAACTTAGAAATTACACGGACAATGTATATGCTTAAGACGGACGAGCAGAATTATGTAGGAAAGCCTGAATTTAGTAGTTCTATGACCTTAATAATGTTACTTCACAGTCTTTTACAACGTATAATTGAAACATAAAAAATGTTAATAGTGGGAGTGTGTATATGGAACAGTTTTCTGATTGTAGGCAGTATTGATTGAGAGTGATACTTCCAGGTTGTTTTTTTTTCCCCTCAGATCTTAGCTTTCAAGCAGCTGCTCGAGTTATGTCTACCCCTGTTTATGATGCCTTAAAGGTAATGAAAGACATAGCTCAGAACTTCCCAATAAGAGCCAGGTATGATGCTTAAGCTTGTTTTTCAAATACTGTTTTTATGTTTGCATTTGAATATAATGACAGTAATACAGATTTATATCCAAATCCTGCAGTCAGGTGTTCATGTTTTACAGCTTGCTAGATGGATTCCAGGCGATTTCATTGAGTAGAAAATAACTCCTGGGCGAGCTCATGATCCGTCTCTTAAATGTTTCATGTCTGATGCAGGAGATGCCATGAAGGCATCCTAATCCTTCAGGCACTTATGGTGAATGCCAAGTCCTCCCAGCTTTTACTGGAATGATGTTTTTGCAGATCTGCTCCCAGTAGGAAGAGGCAAAAGTCTATTAATAAATTCTGTAGGGGATCCACCCACATTAGTTCTAAGCACAACATTGCTGACAAGATTGGGCCCCGGCTACTGTGTTTTAGTGTTACTACTGGGGAAGATCTGTCTCCCATAATGGATTACTTAATAAAAGATCAAGATAAATAAGTGAATAACCGCTGTACTAATATTAAAAAGTGCTCTTCCTGTGAGCCAATTGTCTTGTAATTGAGAAATGCTTTTCTTTATATTTAATAAGTTCTTCATGTAATCCTATCAGCAATATTTGCTTGAATTACTGAATTAAATATGATGCTAAATAGGATTCTTAACTCAGTGTGCTTTCAAATTTTACAACTCTTGTTTAATTATCACAGTGTTTCCTTGTCATCTGTGATTTTCTGTTAGAGAAAATCCACACCGTACTGGAAAAAACTACCTTTGTAACATCTTGTTTCAAGGAAGAAAAAATCAACTTTTAAAATGCCTGAAACATAATTATTATGAAATAGTAAGATAAGAGTTTACACTTAGATTAGCAACTGGGAAATGCAGCTTTCCATTAGAAGATAGTGGAAACATACATAATGTTGAACTGTAAGGCCAGTTCTGTTCTTTAAAGGACAGGACAAAGTCAGTTTGAAGCATGCTGGGTGACATTTAAATTACTGATTGTAAAAGTCATTAAATTATTACATCCCACTCCAAGTCCCACTGTGTATTTGTGGCATTAGAACACAATTCACCTGCTGTTCAAACATTTTATTTTTATGGGTAAAAGTATAAGAAGACTTTAGAATTATTAAAAAGGGAATTGCCGTTCCTGTCTTATATGATTTACACTAATATGCTAATCTAGCATGTTATTTTTAACATGAGAGATTACTAATATTTAAATAATTTAAACTTAGTACGTCTACACTGACAACAAACTTAAATCAAAGGGGCATTGAGTGAAAACAGTGCAAAAAATATATTTCCTTAATAATCTAATCATGTTTAACTTGCTGAGTCAAAAATAGTAGTTTGGAAAAAATATGAACAGGAAATGAAAAGATATTGCTTAATCACTTTAGATAAATAACTGATCATTATAATAGTAGTATTTTAAATTTTTTTGAATTTCACACAGTTTAGATATGAAAACAACCATTTTTTAATTATGCAAACCTTAGTTCGAAAAGGCTGTGTAAAATTTTTTAACTATAGTTATGAAAATAAAAATTACATATTATATGTTCCTTAAAAGGAGAGGTTCCTTAAACCATAAAAAATGAAAATAACAGTCCTCTGGAAGTTTCTTTCACTTTCTAGTTTATAACATGCATTTTTTTGTGTCTCAGTTGTTTCCAGTTGAAAAGGTTAGTCTGAGGTAGATTTTACAAAATGTCATCAGATGTAGACAGTGTAACAACTGATATATGTTACGGTGACATTTTGAGAATTCATTTTATAGGGTATTTTTCATCTTTGTTTTGTTGTACATGTCATAATTATCTGTTATTTAAGAGTGCAGTAATAAGAATTATAATACTCTGTTTCTTGCTATTCATTTATCATTCATGAATGTTAACATTATGAATATATGAAGTTTCCTCCCCCCCCCCAATATGCAGTACTACATAGCTACATGCTCTTCCAGGTAAGAAGAAAGATGCATAAAATTATATGACGGAAAATATTACAACCTTGAGGTCGTGCAAGAACATTCCTACATCATGTAGAATGATAAATAGTATCCATTTACTTTCAGACAGTAAAGTGTTTCTGTTTAATGAGTCCTTAGCACTTAATATTTAGAAAAAAATGCATAAAACTCTGTGAAGCTCTGAACAAATTGAACAAATGACTGAACTCAAAATGAACAGATGTCTTTTACAGGTACTTTTACACTAGTCATCTTAAATCCCTAGTGTCCTTCTCAAGGATTGACCATCACACTTTCTCCTTAAAATCTTGCTGTAGCTTAGTGACAGGACAAGGACCAACGGGCACAAACTGGAGCACAGGAAGTTCCATGAGGAAAAACTTCTCTACTCTGAGAGTGACAAAGCATTGGAACAGGCTGCCCAGGGAAATTGTGGAGTCTCCTTCTCTGGAGATACTCAAAACCCGCCTGGACACGGTCCTGTGCAGCCTGCTTTGGGTGAACCTGCTTTGGCAGGGGGGGTTGGACTAGATGATCTCCAGAGGTCCCTTCCAGCCCTTACCGTTCTGTGATTCTGTGAATCCTGCATTGTCAACCGCTGTGCATAGGCAAGGAGCTAGTTAACAATTCTGTAACGTATTGTTTTCTTACTACCAAAAAAGCTATCAGTAAAGCTTACCTTTTGCTGATAAGTATTTTATTTCCTTTCTAATATTTGGCCAGCCTTGTCTTCTCTTTTACGCCTTTTTATTATTTTCATATTAATTTTTTATGTTTCTACCTTACTACTCCAAGCTATCTGGAAAGATTTAGGTTGTTCTTTTTATCTGTGCAATTTTTATCACCTGTGTATGCAGAATGTAGTATTGATTCTGAGAGTTACAGGCCCTACTATTTCTGTTGAGTTTAGCAAGATAAAAATCTGAGCTTTTTTTTTTTCCCTAAACTATTTTTTGCTTCAGAATTCACTAAAACTATTGCTATGAAGTCAGAATAATAGTTGTGGTAATATTGCTGCACATCAAATTTCTACCTAACTATGGAGTCCTTCTTTTAAGTAGCTGTTTTGCTCATTGGCAAAGTAAATTCTCAGTAATAATTCCCATCAATTACAGATGTTCTTTTTAATGAGAAGAGTTCTGTAGTGTTCCTGAATTATGTCTGTTGCTGGTAGAAGGTCCCTTAAAGCAGTGTCCTGCATAGTCAGTTTTCTAGACTTCTGACTTAGTAGTGTGTTTTCCTAATCCTTCTCCATTTTTCTGAATTTAAATTTAGCTTCAGATATTATTTTCTTTGTACTTAGAGTTTCTTTTAATTTTCTTTTACATGGTAATCAGCAATGTTTCTTTTTCAACAGAAATATTTGTAGTTTCTTGCTTTCTGTTGTACAATTTTCATTTCAAAACTAGTGAACACAAAAAGTAGTACAGTATAAGATATATTTACTCAGTATTGAATACACTTAATATATTCTTTATGTGCATAGGGAGTACCTAGCAGTATGATTATGAAAGCTCCTCCTCCAGTCACTACTGATAGTATAGTAGACTCACAGAATGATTTGGGCTGGAAGGGACCTTAAAGACCATCTAGTTCCAACCCCCCTGCCGTGGGCAGGGACACCTTCCACTAGACCAGGTTGCTCAAAGTCCCATCCAGCCTGGCCTTGAACACTTCCAGGGAGGGGGCAGCCACAGCTTCTCTGGGCAATCTCTCGTATTTCAGTTTGAAACCATTATCCCTCGTCCTATCACTACATTCCCTGATAAAGAGTCCCTCCCCATCTTTCCGTAGGTCCCCTTTAAATACTATATATTTGAACTGTGTTGATCATTTTTTAGTGCTGTCTTTGACATCACAGTTTGAGTTACACCTTTCTCATTTTGAGCCAGGGAAAGTCCACCAAGTATGAGTTGGTGTAAATACAGCCCCTTCTTGATCCTCTATTGCCCTTTCATCATGTGGTCCAGAAGGGATTCACAAAAATAATCTGCCAGAATATTTAGAGGGGGCTAATGGAAAAAGGGTATTTAACTGTGATGAATCGTGTAGTATAAACAAAACTTGGAAATCATATTGTTTGCACTTAACAAGTAGTCTCTTTGATCACCTGGAAAGCTCGAGTATTTGGTTAAAGTAAACTGATTTTATGTCTTATTTCTGACATACTGTGAAAAATGTGCAGTTTACTAGCAAGATCTATTCTAAATCAGTTTCTTTTGGGGGGAAGGTGAGGATTCATATTATTTAATAACTGCTTTATTATCCATAAGTATTGGAGTTGGCTTAGTAGAATCATTCTCAGTTTGTTTGGTTAACTTTCAGGTTTAAGATGATTCCAGTTTTTCTTAAAGCCCCATACAGATTTGCTGAAAGATGTAAAATCATGTTTTGCAAAAAAAATATTGATCTAGGCAACTAGACTATTTATTTTGGCATTTATTGGGAGAATCAGATTTAGGCTAATGTGGGTTAGGGTTTATTAAAACACAGATTAATTTGCCTCTGGAGTATTTTATGATAGCCTAGTAATTATAAACCTCACATACAATACATTTTGGCAGAGGAAGTTAAAATAGCCTCCCACCATGTTCTTGAAAGGTAAAAAAGACAAATCAACGGATTATGGTCTAAAGGTAGAATGACAAAGGAAACTAAAATTTTGACTGTCTGTGAATACTTAACATTTTCGAGGATCTCAATCTCTTCTAATCTCAGCTAATTTTAAAGTGGTCGTTCTTTGCGTATTTTCTTTGCCTTTGGCCAAAACATCAAGTTGTATCCTTGGCTGCCTGTGCTGTAATGTTGAGTAGCATGGAGTTAGTAACATTAACTTAAGATATATAAATATGCATTTATTTATTGAGATTATCAAGCAACTTTTTATAATATACATGCTATTTTCCAGAAGAAAGCAAGAGGAAAGATTGAGAGTGGTAAAAAATATGCTGATAATATTACTTCCACAAAACCTAACATAAATTTGAAACCTGGGTTTACTAGAGTAACACAGAACAAAAGATTTGTTTTGAAAATAAAATGTTTATGACACTGCATTACTCTTCTTTTTAAGTCTCAGTTATAGCTTTCTTCCATTACAGTGCATTGGATATGGTGTTAAAATACATATTTCACATGTATTTTTTGTGCCTTGATTAATTTATGCCTAATAAAATGCCTAATTAAATAAATACGTATTTAAAAGCACAGTGGTTGACTGATACCAATATTTTATTTTTATAGATCACTGACCAGAGTGCCTGTAGACAAGAAAATGCGAAATGAAATAGAAGAAAATCAAAAGGTTTGTTTTAATTTCTTCAAGTGGACATTTGAATTACTGTCATATTATTGCTTTGGGAGATTTTTATTAGTGTAGCAACTTTCACATGGTTTCTGTCAAAGAACCAGTTGTTCTAAACATGTTTTACTAAATAAGTAACATTTGAATACTCAATTCAAATTTCTCACTTTCTGCTGTTCTTGGTACTTTTTCCCTTCCCTCTCTTGATTTTTACAGAATTAGGCAAGGACAAACAATTTTTAGAGAGTGCTGTTCGGTCATAAATGGTGCGCTGTGAAAGCAAAATATGTATCAGCTAATTTTTCTAGAGCTTTGGTGTTGAATCTAGGCCTGCTGCTTGTATTGTGGTCAGCACATGCAGCTTTGAGCTTTCCACACTGAGTCACGCGTGCAACTGTTCTGCGAGGTATTTTGAACATCATCTATGACAGGTGGTGGTTTTATTTTTGTCCTTGATACACTGCATCTTTTGTGCCTTGTATCATGTGAGGACTCGTGGTTCTTATGATTTTTGACTGATCTGAGATGCATCCTGAGATGCCACTTGGCATTTGTCAAGGTTGTGACATTGGTTGTATTGTCTGTTTCAGTTCAGAGTTTGGATTTTTTCTTTCAAATAGAGTGTTAAAATTAAATGTTAGTCACCATGATTTTGGGACTGGTCATATGAAATGACATCTATGGCACTGTCCTTAATCTTGATCTTCAGAACATATATTTTCATACGGTGCTAAGACTGACCAGCCACCATAGTGGAAGGGATTTGTTTCTTACTTATGGCACTCCTGTACATTTCTATGTATCACTTTGATTTGTATCCATTCAGGCCTTTGCCAAGACTAGTATCTCCAGGGGAATGCCTTTCCAGTTTCTTCCACCTTCCAAAACAGCGTAAGCGAACGATGTCCTTGTTGTGCTGATGCAGCCTTCTCGTAAAGAGCTTGCCATCTCCATTGTAGCAAAAATTTCACGTAAATGTGTTAAAGCTCTCCACTATGCAAAACTAATGTACGGCTTTCCAGTCTTGAGTATTTCTTGCCCAGATAGTGACAGGCTGAAGTGTTATGTCCTCGTAAATGGTTACGCAAGCAATTGTATAGGGCTTTTTTTGTCCATGGGTGATTGCATGAGGGACTGGTGTATTGAGAATACAATTCACATATCCCAGGGGTTCACCTTCCTGAGCCCTTCAGCTTTCTTGTGGGCAGGGTGCATGTTTGATTCTTGAGTTTTCACAGAGATCTTACAGTGGGCTTAACATTATGCAGACCTCTTGTTTCTTGCACTAGTGAGAAGTGCCATAGTTTTTGCTCAAGGGAGCAAATCAGTGTCTGCACCCAGCCTCGTTGTTTTCTGTATACAGCTGAGAGACGCGTTTTCCTGTATCTCTTTGTTGTTAGGGTTATAGTCAGGATAAAGCAAAACAAAGCCCTGATGATCATAGTTTCTCCAGAGGATGAGTGTTGGTAGCGGGACTTTCCTTGTTTCTTGATGAGGTCTTTACAATGTCTTTGTTTGCAGCTCTGTTAACATAAAAAGAAAAAAACAACTGCATAATCAAAAACTACTCCTCTACCCCAAAATGCAAAAAAAAAAAAAAAAATTATGTTGGGAATTAAAATTATTATTTTTACTAAATATAAAGATTAGGAAAATTAGTATTTGGGCTGAAATGAAGATACCTGCATTTAGTTATGTCTATATGGGTGTGTAGGCTCCTGTTATAAATGTACAGATGTAGTCGATGGACATGGAAAACAATTTAGCTCACTCAATGGTTGTTCTGTGGGGCATGACTGAGTTGCCTGAACCTGGATTTCTGATGTCATTTGAGATGCCATGGACTATCCAAAATAGTCATACAGGTCTGGTGGATGTGGCCATTGGGACATCCATTCCCTTCCGATCGACCTGTATTTTCCAGGCCAAGAAGCCTTATCCTGAGACCTTGCAATGTCTCAAATGAGACTGGGTATCAGCTGGATCACTCCTATGAGTCCATAGACTATATTAAATATTTAACTGTAGGAGGATCTTAGGCAGCTGTCAGACTAAGTTTAGATTTCTTACTACATCCTACTTAAGGCTACAGGCCTTTAGACAGCTAAAAGCTAAAATCTGTTGGATGAAAGTAGGGAAACTTCCTGAATACTGCTGCTAGAGCACAATAAATTGGCATGTGCATTCTTGAACTGCAGTACATCCATCTAGCAGCAGGAGAGATATGATCTCATGCTGTGTGTAACTGGATGATTCCCTCTCAAGATAATGAAAGTTGAATAGGAAATGCAATGGGAGGAAATAAAGGTATTAAAAGTTGAAAGGCATGCGATGATTTAGGTGTCATGAATTGATACCTAACTGCTAAATTGTCGTGGTTTTGGCTGGGATAGAGTTAATTTTCTCCCCAGTTGCTGGTACAGTGCTGTGTTTTGGATTTAGTAGGAGAATAATGTTGATAATATACTGATGTTTTAGTTGTTGCTGACTTTTTTTTTTCCGATTCTCCTCCCCATCCCACTGTGGAGGGGGAGGAGTGAGCGAGCAAGCAGCCACTTGCTGCTTAGTTGCTGGCTGGGGTTAAACCATGACAGGACAAAGAACTGCTATGGATAAAAGGAAAAATAAAATTTCATTAAACACAACTTCCAGTGCAACAATTTGCTGACAGATAGCAAGAAAATACTATATGAGTATTATTGGCGTTAAATTCTAGTCCTGGATGCCTAAATATTCCTTTCATCGTAGTTGTTGCAGCAAATGGATGCTTGTCTGAACAATCAAATGCCTAGCATCAATATTGTATAACAAGTCTCAGCTCTTGGCCCAGTTCTTTTTTTACTGTAGTACTGAAGGATTTGAAAAACTTTGTCTCCCATTTCAATACCCAGTGGCTGAGAATTTTTTCATTCTTGGATTCATTTTAGTTAGCATTAGGATTTTTATGACCTACATCAGCCAGTTGCAGTCTTTCTCAGTATCTGTGTTTACATGACTACCTGGGCTTATAGGAATGACCAGTAAGCTTTCAGTAATAGTAAGAGATCTCTTACCCTAATTGCTGATTTCAGTGCTTCAGAGAGGGGGCCTGTTCTAGCTGATCTCACAAGATCTGTGCAAGAGCCCCAAAGGATGCTGGTAAGATTTCTTGAGCCTGTAATCCTCTTTATATTTGTTCGCTCCTTGAGTCCAGTGGCATTAAGGGTGATTTTTCTGCGGTCGCAGTACTTTGTGGCACAACGCTGGTATTAAAACTGTAGTCCAGATTGGATTTGCTAACTACAGAAAAATGTCAGGTTCACTTAGATCTTTGGGAGCTTTTCTGCCTTGTGTAGCAGAGTCTCACCACTGTTTGCCTGGCTGTTTTCTATTGTCCCTTCTGCCCATTTTCTTGTGTCTCAGGATCAAACTCCGTATAGGTAAAATGATCAGAAATTTCACCTGCTGCAAGGGCACTTGGCATTGTCGGGCATCTATGAATTTTGGCTGCGTAGAAGGGATGTATAGAGTGATACATTGGGAGGGTGTGTAATTCTGTGTGAATCTGTGGGCGAAAAATTTAGATGTCAGACACCAGCTGCTACTTCTAGTTTTTGTTTTAATGGCTGCATGAGGTTTAACAAAGATAAATACGAAGTCCTGCACTCGGGCCAGAGTAATCCAAAGCAGCAGTTAGTTATAAAGAAGATAGAAGTCCTTCCTTTTCTGTACCAAGTTTGAGACATCGCAAAAAACGATTTCTGTAATTTAGATGAGTATGAGATTGAGAATTAAGTGAGTTTTCTAAATTAGAAAAGTAATTATATTATCTCTTTCTTTTTTTCCTTATCCGACCATAGGAAGCTTACTGCCATGTCTTTATGCTTCTCATTTTGAAAGGCGCATTGACATCCATTTTTGGGGTCCCTAATTTTCATGAAAGATAATTACTAACGATTTTTTAAAAAAAAGGCTTTCTGTTTATTTCTTAGCATTAGTGGAATGCAGTTCCCCCCACATCCACCACATTCTTCACATTATATCTGAGTTTGGATATATGTATTTAGATACTTCATAACAAACATAAGTAATTATTTTTTTTTGGTAAATCTACATACAGAAAAGCAATGAAAGCACTATAAAGTTCAGGTTAAACCATTAGAATAAATTAAATTTACCAATTTCAAAATCTGCTCTTCAAGGTCAAGGACAGGACTTTTATAAAAATTGTGTCTGTTAGGCTCAGGCTTGTCACAGCTGCATTTTTCCTTCATGGAGAGCCCTGCTTTTCATATGTTGGTATTAGGTGCCATTACATATTTCCGTCCTGCTTTGAGTTGTGAAATGTTTACATATACTGAGGAAGGTCATACCTTTTCAATGAATGATGAGTGATATGCAGATCTGTTGGATCACAAGGAGTGTCAAATGCACTGTTGTCTCATTTATGTGGAGCTGCACTTATAATGCCACAAACCAGTTAGCTTTGCGTTTACTTACATTTAACTGAGTGAAAGTAGCCACACTACTTCAAAGGAATAATACCTCTTTCAATGTTGCCCCATTTTTTCTCTCATTTGTTAGTGACAGGTTCATAAGTGGAGTAATATACGCAGCCTGAGTTGCTTGTTTTAAGTGTGCTGTTGTTCAAAGTGCGGTTTTTGTTCACACTTACTTTGGCAAATGGGAGCTAAATGGGGAAAAAACCACCTTTCTCAGCTTGCTTTTTTTCTGCATATTTTTCGTGCTTTCCGTTCCTCTGTTGGGAATTAAGACAGATCTGGAAATCTGACTGCTCCTTACGGGGTGAGTTGTAATAAACTGCTGCTGTTGCTCTTGTTACTTGTCTTGCTACAGCCACCATGGGTTGAACAGTGTGGTGCCTCCCAGCTCACTGAAATAAAATGATAAGGCATACTTGACTCCCTAAGTACTTCCTTCCTATTGTTATTTGTTTATTGTGGATTTTTTTTCTTCTTTGCAAAGCAAGGATATGCTGTGCTATCCCTTTTGGATCTATGTTTTTTCCAAAGTCCCTTTGTTAGATGAGGTTATATGTATCTAGTTGGTCTTTGCTAATTCCCCATAACAGTTGCGACTCTGAATTTTTTGGAATTGTGAAAGATGTTAAGCTATTGAGAAGGCTAGCCTCAAGAGGAGGTCTGAAGGACTTGTATAAGGTCTCCCTTTGTTGAATGGATATGTAGGAGTAATTTTTCAAAAACTTACAAGCTGTATTTCTGTATGTGGGTGTATTTTCACATTTTATTGGCAGACACTCAGAATGTGTCCCTGTCTCTACCTTGTGCAGACAGGGACACTGTAGGTTGGGGGGGAATTATCAGCTATTTTAATTTATATTTGTACATTGCAAGTGTATTAAATAGCACTCATAAAAATATGCTAATATTTTTGTCAACAACATTCAGCTAAAAGAAGAAATTATGTGGAAGAGATTTGATGTGTCTGTTTTGCAGAATTAAAATTTTATATATGTTTTATATAAAGTTCTCTCTATATATTTATATGTGTGTTACTGTTGACATATACCTAAATAAGTTAGCAGTACTTTTTACTTTTTAGCATTTTTATGAAATACTTGGAATCCAACCTGGAGAAGCACGTTTATTTCTAAATGGCCTTCATATTGACCTGGATTTTCACGATCCTTTTAGGTAAGATGGTACATTTTGTTTGAAGATTACAGAATTACTAATAATACTGGAGAAGTTATGCTTATGGTGATAGATAATCTCATCTGTTGCATTTTGGTGGACAGGATATACTGGTTTACAGTGGTTTTGCTTTGAATATGAACATTGTATAAGTAATAGAAAGCAGCATCTTCTCTCGGAATATGCTTTCTGCTTTGCTTACAATTTTATAATTCACCATGTAAAATTAATTTGGAAATGGTAGGAATCCAACATGTATGTATAAAAAGGGGGGAAAAGCACTTTATGAAAAGCAGGTTAAGTGCTTTTATATCCCTATTTCTTAAAAATTATGAAAAATTTGCAGGCATTAAATTTAGATACACAACACCCTGGGTTATTTTTGACATGCTTGTGAGTCTGTGTCTGGTCACCTTTTATAATAAGTTTTGTTAATGCAGAACTAATATGCTTTTTGGTATAAGAAATCTTTTTCCAGTTTGTGTAATTACATTATAATGATTTTGGGTGTGACTTGTCTCTTTTATTCAAGCACTCATAAACTGTAAACGTTTTCCCTTGCATTCTTCTATATGTTGTCAACAGCAGGCATGACTACAAAATCGTCTGTGGTGGCCTGCAAACTCATCTACTGATGCTAGGTCTGCGGTTTTTTTCATGTTCCTATGATTTGTCAGTCTACAACTTTTTACTATTTTTTGACTCAAAATGTCATCTTTTCACCCCCATGGAGATATTAACCTTTCTTGGGTTTAGCATTTATACTTGCAGTTTTTACTTATTTTTTTCACTCAGCCAGAGTTGTGAGATGGAGTCATTTGCATCTTTTTTGGTAATGATGCAAAAATTAATAGTGAATAATAGTGCTTTTTAATGCTAGTGCTAGGTTTAATTTCAATATATTTTAGAAGAAACTTTTTAGAATAGAGAAGACTCAGAATGAAGCAAGATAGAAATAAAGGCATTTGTAAAATCTTACCTGCTATGTTTTGCTCGTTGAGCACTTCAGTTTTGTTTCCAATGTTCCAGAGTCCTGTTGGGTCTTCTGTGAAAGAGTCTTCTTTTAGAGGGGTAGCCATGCATTTCCTCTGTGCTCATTTCAGGATTCTGCCATGATGCAGACTTAAAGCTCGTCTGTGTCTCCATTACTTGCTGCCTGCTTTTCTGCACACTCAAAGCTTCCTCTTAGGGTACCCCCCACTCAGGTTTCTGCCTCAGCCAGGAAGATGCAGCAAGTAACCTTCCTCTCTGCTGTCCTGCCAGATCTTACTAAAGATGGGTGAAATTCCCTCATATAAAATAAATATGAATGAACAAGAGAATTGTATAAACTGTTATAATTCTGGTTTGAAATAAGTTGGAGACATACAGTGTTGTTAATAGCTTTTGTTTTAAACATCTAACTGCAGGAAAATATAAAAACCTAATTTTTTTATATAAAAATAATTTCCATGTTAATGGTCTTTGAAATATTTTTCCTTTTTATATCATGACAAAAGTTCTGTGTAGACATTATTCATTTTGTCTTCCTGAAAAAGTATCTTAGAGACTCTTAAACTGGAAGGAAAAGTGATGCATGGCCTTCATGAACTTGGAATCAAAGAGGAGATCCTGAGTAAATTTATGAGGTTACATATACATCCTACAGATGATAGTTATGCGCTAGATATTCGTCACTCTTCGATAATAGTAAGTAATTAAAGTTATTTATTTAAATATTACATATTCGGTAGCGCTATGTATGAGACAGAATTGAAATACTAGGCATAAGACCATATATCAATAAGCAGTTTAAAATATTTTGGGGGGTGATATCCCTTCAATATATATTTTAGGAATAATTTTCTCTAGCCTACACCTTATTAAAATTTTAAGATGTAGGATGTTTAAAAGAAAAGAGGAATGTATCTAAGAGTAGTTGCACACTCATACCTAGAGAATTTGACTTTACAGAAGTTACTCTAGCTATGTAATATCTTCGTATTATGCAAGGCTGCTAAATGTACTTTGCAAGTATGATAAGTGAATTGTGGACAACTTAAATATTTTGTTTGTAGTTGTCCAATGACTCTGCTTTTTTCCTTTCTTCAAAATTTGTACAGTTTTCATTACAAAGGTTATATGCCAGTGGAAGAGACACTAAAATACCAATTTTCTTCACCTAAAAGAACTGTATTTCATTATTCTGTTTGCCAAGTATAGACGAGCTTGCACAGAAAACAGTAGAACAAATCGGCCATATATTATTTATTTTCATATATCTAAAGTGCTACTGTGGGTTATAGATAAGTACTGTATTTGTCTTGCAAGGTAGTTATGCTGTTACACACATATGTGTGATACGTTGTTAATAACCTTTGTATTGTGAAAGTAGTTTCCACACTTGAAAAAATGGTTTTGTTCACATCCTGATACAGAGTACAAATGGTCTGTTTTCCTTTTCCATTCATTATTAGTTTTGTCATGTACTGCAAAGAAAACCCCCAGTTTCATTGAAAAGAAAAAAAAATACTAATTTTAGAAGCTGTTTTCTGTTACTGTTTTGACAAGAAGATAACACATTTTACTCTTTCCAGGCTTTCCATGTGTTCTAAAGTTTGTTTATACATACATATTTTACTCAACGTTTAATGTGTGTTTTTTAAATGGCTGCCTTTTTTGTTTTAGTGGGTTAATAACATAGAACAAGATCACAGCTATAGCACATGGCCTGCAAGCTATCAGGAACTGCTAAAACCCGCATTTCCTGGAGTTATACAGCAGATTAGACGCAATTTATATAATTTGGTAAGTTTAGAGAACTTAATTTTTTTGCATAGTGTGTATGTGGACAGACAATTTATTGAAAAATACACATGCTGTATTCATTGTTAAGATAGATTAGAATTTCCTGGTGTGGGTCTGCTAATGGTAATAGAAATTTCATACTGTGTGGGTCTGCTAAAGGTAGTGAAAATCTTTTTGTCTAGTGAGTCACATGTGTTTATTAGTCTGATTTCCAGAAGTGGACTTAGGCATAGTTTTGTCAGGAGCTTTTCTGTTACTTTCCATGCTACATATAGATAATTCACTACTATCAATGAATTTTCTTCGTTGTACGCTGCTGTCCTTGTTTCAGAGATGGTGAGGTACAAAAAGATTTTAAGTTGTAAAGCATACTAATTATAAATGTCTCGTAGCCTAATTTTTCCTCTGTACATAGCATTCTGTATCACTTAGTAAATTAAGGAAACAGCTATTGCTGATTTAAATTAAAATTTAAATTACAAAAGGTAATTGTATGAATCATAGAATAGTTTGGGTTGGAAGGGACGTTCAAAGATCATCTAGTCCAACCCCCCTGCAATAAGCAGGAACATCTTCCACCAGATCAGCTTGCTCGCAGCCCCATCCGGCCTGGTCTTGAACACTTCCAATGGTGGGGCATCCACAACTTCTCTGGGTGACCTGTTCCCCTGTGACACCTGTGTCTCACCACCCTCATTCCTTCATATCCAGTCTAAAGCTACCCTCTTTTAGTTTAAAACTGTTAGCCCTTGTTCTGTCACTACAGTGTCACTGCTACTGGTAAAAAGCCTCTCTCCACCTTTCTTATAAGCCTTTTTTAAGCACTGAAAGGCTGCAATAAGGTCTCCCTGGAGCCTTCTCTTTTCCAGGCCAAACAACCTCAACTCTCATAGCCTTTGCTCATAGGAGGGGTGCTCCAGCCCCCTGCTTATCTTTGTGGCCCTTCTCTGGACCCACTCCAACAGATCCATGTCTTTTCTGTGCTGGGGGCCCCAGAGCTGGATGCTGTACTCCAGGTGGGGTCTCACCAGAGCAGAGAGGGAGAGTCACCTCCCTCAGCCTACTGGTCACACTTCTTTTGACGCAGCCCAGGATACAATTGGCCTTCTGGGCTGCAAGCGCACATTGTCGGCTCATGTCCCGCTTTTCATCCACCAGCACCCCCAAGCCCTTCTCAGCAGGGTTACTTTCAATCCCTTCATCCCCCAGCCTGTATTGGTACTGGGGATTGGCCAACCCCGGTGCAGGACCCTGCACTTGGTCTTGTTGAACCTCATGAGGTTCACATGGGCCTACTTCTCAAGCTTATCCAGGTCCCTCTGGATGGCATCCCATCCCTCAAGTGTGTTGAGTACACCACACAGCTTGGTGTGTGGTGTACTCATCTGCAAACTTGCTGAGGGTTCACTCGATCCCACTGTTGTTGATGAATATATAAACAACACTAGTCCCAATATGGACCTCTAAGGGACACAACTTGTCACTGATCTCCGTGGAGCCATTGAGCGCTACTCTCTGGATGCAATCACCCAGCCAATTCCTTATCCACTGAACAGTTCATCCATCAAATCCATCTCTCTTCAGTTTAGAGAGAAGGATGTTGTGGGGGACCATGTCAAAGGCCTTATAGAAGTCCAGATAGATGACATCCATAGCTCTTCCCTTGTCCACTGATGTAGTCACTCCAAGTGACATGAAGTTCAGTATATAAAAAGACAACTGAAGTACAAGCAATATGTACTAAAAAAATGTGTTTATAATGAAGCCTAAGATGTGTGTAATATGTAGTAGATTGCATTATGTATTCAAAGTTAAATATTGACACAGATGTATATAACATCAACATCTACAATGTATTGTTTACCTATAATCTGAGGGGGGCAGTGTTTAAAATTTTTAAAATCGTTCTGCTTTTCAGTTACTCTAGCAAAATTATGGTAAATTCTAAGGGGAGTTGCAGTGCAAAGCTGAATAAATAAGGTACCAATGTCATAATTAAATTTGCATAAGGATAATCTACCTATGCAGACAGATCCCAGTTTTAGATTCTGTGCACGCCTGAAAGATCTGATTTGACACTTCAAGCTACAATAAGTGAAAGAGTGAATACAAAGACATGTGAGACAGGAAGGAAGAATTCTTTCCCAGTGCTCCATTTTTTAATTAAAGTTTTAAGTCAATATATTCTGTTTGTTTATTTTAGTTTGGGTTTCACAACAGAAGAGAGTTAGTTGAAAGAAGTAATAGAAAAGTCAGCATTGGATCCTTTTTAATTAAATATCAGGTTCATCAATAAAAACAAAGTATTGGCACAGTCTTTCAAAGGAGAGTCGTGATATCACTTGGTTTGACGTTTAATAAATGGTTAAATCCTGTTTGCAGTATTTGGTCCAAATTCATTAATTCTGGAGTTATTTTCATTTATATTCTTAATGTTTTCTTACAATGAATGGTCTACGAAATTGAAAACAGTTGGGGTGCACAGCTGCTTTGGAAATTTCTGTTTTTATCTTCGATTTTATGTCTGAAAAAAATTAAAAACAGACATCAAGAATAAATATTGGCTGTGTAATATGTTTTCTCTTCTTAGGTACTTTTTGTTGATCCTGTCCAAGAAGATACAGGTGATTATATGAAACTGGCAGAATTATTCTATCATCATAATTTACCACTTAGGTAAGGAAAACTGAAAGTCTTGAAGAAAAGTCTTAAAAGAAGGTTGCTTTCCTTTTTTCTTCTTCATCTTCTATACTGCTAGGTAAATGTGAATTCAAATGAAGCCAAATGCAACAACATTCTAATAAGACACATTGATTACCCATTTGGGTTAAGCTTACTCAGGTATTAAGTATTCTTAAGCAAATAGGTGGCAAGGGATAACATACTGGAGTGTGTGGAAAATGAACTGCAAAAGTCTGATAAAAAAATTATCTTGTCATATAGTCCCACTGGATGCCCATTTGAAGTTGCATTCTAAGCAAAATGTTCTGCAAGTAAAACATGATTGGAGGGCATTTTTTAATTTAGTCCTGTCAACTGAGGTTGCTTTACCTGATTTTGTTTTTATAAAGACCAAAGCAAGATTATCCTCACCAAGTTTTGAATTTCTAAAAATTACTTGTCTGAATCTGAACTATTCATCATTTGAGAGAAAGAGAACTTCTGAGGAAGAATCTGGTAGATCCAAGATGCCTAATTTAAGAAAAAATTAATTGTTCTCAGGAGTGCCTATTTATTTCCACAGCTTATAAAAGAAGAGAAGGGTGTCCAAACTAGATCCAAGGTTCAGCAAGATTAATTCCATGTTAAATATTTAAAATTTACCTGTGAAATGGCTTTTTGTTTCCTCAATAAATTACAGGGTTTTCATTTTCCTTTGAAATTTTACTAGTTCTGAACATTGTTTTGTTCTTCTTTGTTTTTTTTATCATTCAACGACAAAAAGTAATGGAGGACAGATACAATTTATCTGTGCATTTTGTCACTGTTGTCACTACTGTCCTTGAGGAGAATATAGCCTAGAATCTAATTTGCCTTTTCTGATATATAACAACAGCATAAGAGCAGGCAAACTGGGTCAAACTAAAGGTCCATTTAGGTCAGTCTGTAAAAAGCCACAAGGAGCTGCCTAAGTACAATAAAAAGTACAGGGCAACCAGGTTCTTTGCCCGAGTATTTTCTTGGCGTTTGTGCATTTGGAGATCAAAGAATTCCAGACCTGGATGTACTTTCTAACCATTCAGCAACCCTCACTGAGTTTTTCTTCCATAAACGTTTCTGTTTTCCTCATGAATTCATGTAAAGTTTTAGCACCCACAGCATCCTTTTCCAGGTGTTTTCACAGTTTAACTATGTGGTATATGAAGAACTGCTTCATTTGTTTTGAGCCAGACTTTCAATAGCTTCATTTATTGTCTCTGTAGCTCTTATAATTGGGGGAAAAACTAAGCAGTCTCTTCCACTGTCTAGATGGTGGTCATGATTTTATAAAGCTCTCCCATATTCAACCGCAGTCATTTCTTTCCCTTGGTTACTAGTTACTCCTTGCCTGGAAGCTGTTCCTAAGGTTGTTTTGTTTTCTGAGTTGTCCTTCTGTGAACTTTCTTCGTTTTAATATAACTTCTCTGAGATGAGAGCAGCAGCCATGTATTCAAGATGTGGACAAGCCATGGGGTCTATACTGTTGTATAATATTTTGCTTTGTTTGACTGATCCTACAGCACCCAGATGACACAAGACTTCAGGAAAAGTTATTTACAATGAGAGATATAAAAAATGGGAGAAGCAATTAATTGTAGAACATGGTGCACCTTTATGCATTAATTGCTATTTATTCTTTTTAGAAAACTTGCTGTATTTCTTACTTCCCTCTGTCCTTTGATCTGACGCACACCTCATTACGTCCTGAACATGTCTAAACAATTTTATACTGATGTGACAGATTTCATTTTAATAGTTTTAAAATATCTAATGTGAAGTGGCTATACAAATTAAAACCTGACTTCCTAAATCAACTCATTGAATTACAGCTTGTAAATATGAAGGTCTTCCAAAACATGCGCTCAGCATTGCAGACTGTCGTGTTGTAGTAGCTCTCATGTATTATGAGATCAGTAGGTCTCATGTTCTTGTAGCAGCTATGATGGTGCCATATGCTTTGTGGAAATATTTGAAAAATGCACAGTGTTTTGTAAAGCAGAAACCAGCTTTGAGTCACTATTGACACTCCTTTAGGAAGACTGTGTGGTGGTTTGGTGTCTGATGGTAGCGGGGCAGGGGGCTACAGAGGTGGCTTCTGTAAGAGGCTTCGAGAAGCTTCCCCAGCTCCAATTGGCCAGGCCAATGGCACCTCTGTGAATAAGAGTGAAAGAACGTGTTGAGGAGCTGTTTGTTCATGTTTCTTTGTTGGTGAGCAG